GGCAAAGACAACCAGACAACAACTCATTTGTTTGCATGGGGCTTTTCCACAAGCAGGTGCCCCAAATAAAGGATTACAAAATATGATGTGCTACAGCCCTGATCAGGTATCCCAAAGAAGGGACTCCTAATTTCTGGAAATCTTACTCCCTATTAACCACACTTCATTTTCTACGTCACGTTCCGCTTGACTTTCCATTATTGGTAGATGATATCCTTAAACCCTGTGTAGCCTCTGTTCTTAGAAGAGTAGGATTTTGGGGGGTGCGTCAGACCATATACGTGCAGCGAGGATGCAGCAAGCAATTCTGCCATAGGGAGTCTACAGGGTCATCAGGGGATTTTGTAGGGGGTGTATAACATGCACATAGGGTGTACATAGGGTCATGAATGAATTCTGTAGGGGTTATATAGGGTGTATCTAGGGTGTGTACAGGATTTGGGGATAGACCCCTAATAGTGTGGAATCGACTTGGAAAATCATGTGGAAGATGAAATGGAAAGTGGGTTTATGATGGCTTAGATAAGGATCTACTCGTGTAGCCCAAAGGGTCCATGTACCCACTGCTTGGATACTTGTTGGGATTTCGGTATTCGCGATTGTAACACAAGATCTGGGGATGTGTCTGATTTTGGGGGGCCTGGACTCCTAGGGCAAGATTATGTCTGCATCAAAGCGTCAAGGCAGCCCGACATACTTCGACTCTCAATACACCCGCTCTACTTCGAGATAGAGACGACAAAAGTGCACCGATATTTGACATTCAAGAAAACGAACTTGAAGACTCAGAGTATGCCCCGTTTGGTCATCCTCGAGTATCACAAGCAATGACTCTACTCGCTTAAGCCCATCATGCATACCACAAACCGCAAACCGTTGTTCCCCACATCTTCCCTGCATGACCTACTGGGGTTGCACACTGCTTAGGGCCTAGGGTCATCTGGGCTGCGAACTGGTCCCACGCCGGTATCGGCCTGAGTTCTACACAGAGCTTCAATTTCGACAGGACGCGCCCAAACAACGCACAAAGGCACTCAACCGATGAACCAACCTTGCGTTGAATATCATTGCTAAATATTCGGCGGGTCCTTAAGATGAGTCAGGGAGCATTTCATCATCAAGAAATGTCGGTGCACAAGGCCTATGAGATGGGCGTCTCTGGAAAATAGAAAGACATGCTCCAACATCATTGAAACATTGCTCCGCATTCACCACAGTACGCAGCCTCAAAGATAGGAAAAGGCGTTCGGCAAAGGTGTTGACGTGCACGCGACCGCAGGGGTGGGGCGGAATAAATGACAAGTGGATCGACCTGCTTAGGGCTGGCATTACTCTACTTCACTCTCCAACAATGAAGTTAAACCTTAATCCCTGAACCCTCAAAAGCCCATTCTTGGGAATCCAGGGGCTGCACTACGGGTGATTTCAGGATGTCGCAGGGTAAACATGGGGTGCGCCTTGGCTTCAAAATAAGATTCTGGCAGGGAAATCCCCCAACTATGCACCTGCAATACGATAGTCCCCCTTAAGTAGATAGAATCTGGGGTATATGGGAACTTGTACCCAAAGCCATATTCTATCTACTTAAGGGGAACTATAAGTGATGCTTGCTGCATTCCCTGGGACACAGAAACCCTCGCCGCAGAACTGAAACTGCTTGGTGCCTCTGCATCGTAGCTGCGCGCATTGGCGACAGGGCTGCAGCATCAAGATTGTTCATGTTGGAAGCGTGTCGAGAGAGGGGATGACTTCGATATCATAGACGAGCCATCTTCTGGTGCAGAGGGTATACCGGAACCGGGGCTAAGTCGAATGTGAGATGTGGATCTGAAAGTCGGGGCAATGTTGGATGTTAGACTCAAGCTTTGGACCTTTGGGCCCCTGTCTTGGGGTTCCTGTATGAATTGCACGGAAAATGAAGACCGATTTTTGTCGGCACCCATCCCGGGTGAGTCTAGAGGAAGTTTGGGTGGAAACTTTGGGGACGTCGAGCCCCGTTCGCGATGCCATTCAATCGCGGGGTTGCTGTTTAGGAACCTAGACTATCTACCACATATGCACATAATGGCAGCTAAACTTAACTTCCTGTACAGCAACCCAGCTCAACATTCTGCACTGCTGCAGCTCTGGAAACCCTCCAGAAATCAGCTTCGTATCCTAGTCAAAGGCTCAATATCTCGGACGGTCTTCCATCCCCCTTTTACTGGACTAGAATGCCGCTGATAGCTTTCTGAACCCAATATCAAACCAAATCCTGTGCAGGATTTTGCCCAAGTTACGTTCTCAAATAGGAGCGATTTACATATAAAGACTCATATACATGTATACATATATCATGAACCCAAATCCTAGCTTTGGGGAAATCTCTGAACTCTACTCTCTCGTATTGTGGTCCATAAGAAAAAAGTGATAAGAAGATTTCGGTGACCCAACCCAATAATACACACCCTGCAAGAGTCACATGGTAGTCATAGCGTCAGTGTTACCACTGTATAAACCCAGTTTCCATTTGATGTTCCGGTCTCTTTATCCTCTTGATTCTCCATAGTGGGGTAATGACATCAGCAAACCATAAAACCTAGCTGCATTTCCCTTGGCAGGATAAGCCTAAACCCCTAAACTCTTGAACCCTAAACCCCTGAAAACCTAAAACCCCTAAACCCCCTAAACCCCTAAACCCCCTAAGCCCCCTAAACCCCCTAAACCCCCTAAACCCTCAACCCTAAACCCCCTAAACCCTAAACCCTCCCATCCATTAGAACCAGCAAGGGTCAATGTCCGAGGGAAGGGCCGGGAGGTGATTCCGTCCCAGCTCC